ACAAGGGGTCTCAAAGCTGGGAGTCCCATTGGAAAATCAGTCCATAGAATCGAGGTGCTTTTCCCAGGATGATGAACTGGAAAGGCAGGCTGGGCTCGAAGCGATGGGCTTGGCGTGAAGATAGGGCTTCCTGGACTTTGGTGATGGCACCTCTGGCCTCTGGCGTGAGCGTGCAGGGAGAGTCCAGGTCTTTAGGCCCACGAAGAAGATTGAACAGGGGAGCAAGGTCCTCTGTTGTAATTCCTAGGAGTGGACATACCCAGTTGATGGATCCGCAGAGGCTGTGTAAGTCCCTCAGGGTTTTTGGGCCGTTGTTTATGGTGAGCTGCTGGGGTATGATGGTCCTTTCCCAGATCTGGACTCCAAGGTAAGTCCATGGCTTGGTGTACTGGATTTTATCCTCACGAATCTCCATTCCTGCCTTTTCTATGCTTTCAATAGTCTTTTGAACTGTTTTGTCCAAGTAAGCTTTGTCTGAAGCACACACCAGGATATCATCCATATAGTGGTGGATGATAGCATCTGGAAATGATTTCCAAACAGGAGACAGGATGTGAGCCACATACCACTGGCAAATAGTGGGACTGTTTTTTAGACCTTGAGGAAGATAACACCAATGATATCTTTTGAGCGGAGCCTCTTTGTTAAGAGAGGGAACGGAGAAAGCAAACCGTGGAGCATCCTCAGGGTGCAGAGGAATGCTGAAGAAACAGTCCTTAATGTCTATGATAGCAAGTGTCCAGTCTCTAGGCAGCATCGATGGGGAGGGCAGGCCATGCTGGAGGGGGCCCATGTCCTCGATGACCTCGTTGATTCTGCGAAGGTCGTGGAGGAGCCTCCACCTGTTTGTCCCAGGCTTTGGCAGAACAAAGACTGGAGAGTTCCAAGGGCTGTCAGACTCTACTATGTGGCCTTTTGCGAGCTGTTCTTCCACGAGGGTGTTTAGGGCACGCAGCTTGGCTTTAGAGAGGGGCCACTGCTCAATCCAGATTGGCTTGTGGCATTTCCAGGTGAGACAAGGTGTATCTGGCTGTGAGACAAGGTGTATCTGGCAGTGCACCCCGATTAGAAATCCTGAGTGGGAATACGTAGGGAAGCTCCCCACTGGGATAGAACGTCTCTGCCCCAAAGGGTGATGGGGGCCCTTACCATGAATGGGCAAATGGTTACCAGCTTGCCTTCAGGCCCTTCGACGAGGATGTTGTTCTTGCTTCTCATGGATACTGTAGCTCTGCCAATCCTTGAAATCATGCCTGCAACAGGTTGTAGATCCCAGTGTGCTGGCCATTCTGAGCGGGCGATGATGGTCACATCAGCACCGGTGTCCAGAATCCCTGGTAGGTGGGTCTTCTTTCCTTTGCAGGAAGGCCGCACTCAATGGTAGGCTTGCTTGGTCCCACGACTTGTGCCCACATTGCTGTAGGGTTGAGAGGAATCTGTTCCCTGTGATTCTTTGGGAGTAAAAAGGCTTGTGCTATTGGAGTTCCCTTTGAAAGAAAAAATGGTGAGTCTATGCAGTATACCTGGACGAGAATCTCTTGTCCTGGGCGCACTGTCAGCACTTCTGGAACAACGAAGATCTCCTTTGGGCTATTAAGAGAGTCACCTATAATTAAAATGTCAGAAGGACCACCTTTTGGCCCATATTTGCCTGTGGGAACACGGTGAACATTCTCATTATTAAAGTCAATGGACAAAGCAGTTACCAATTGCCAGCAGGTTCCCATCTGGGTCGCCCCGTGTTTTGGATCCTCTTCTTGTGGTCTGGAACCTCCTGGGTTGGTGCGTGATTGGGTCTGGGTGGCCATTGATTTGATGTCCCAGCCCAGGGCTCAACTGGGCTGCGCAGGGAGTTTAACGGACGCTGCTGGTAGCGCTGCTGATTCTGGGGTCTTTGATAATTGTTATGGTGGTATCGGGGAGGTGACCTTTCTGGGCAGTCCTTTATGTAATGTCCAAGATCCCCACAGTGATAGCATTTAGCTTGGTCTTTAGAAGCTATTATTGCATATGCCCCAGAAACTCCTTCAGCAATACCCTTAGCAACTGCTTGGGCCACTGTATTTTCAGTGGACATGTGACGTGTACAGTATTCCAGCATTTGCTCTATGGTGGGGTCTGTATCCACGGGTAGAGACCTCAAAATGGCTTTGCATTTTTCATTTGAGTTACTCAAGGCAAGCTTACATGAGAGTTCCTTCCTTGCCTCTGTGCTCTCTATCTGTTTCTCCAGAGCATCTCTAAGTCTGTCCACAAATTTTATAAAACTTTCATCTATCCCTTGTTTAATAGTAGAAAAATGCATTGTTGGCATTGACTCATCATGCATGAGAAGTAAAGAGGTTTTTGCTGCAAGAGCGACGTCCTGCAGTGCCTCTTTATTCAAGGTTTCCAATTGGTCTGCTGGTTTCTCTGTCACCTTCACCAGCTAGTTGTTCTACCGTGAAATTTGTCTTAGCAGCATCTGCAGAATATGAATCTGATAATGCTTATAAGTGTTTTTTCCAATGCCTGTCCCATAACGTATATTCTGCTGGGGACAGGAGGCAGTGTGAAATATTTTTTATATCGTGGGGAAGTAAGACGTGCTGAGAACATGGCTTCTAAGAAATTTCTAAAAATATCTGAGCTTCTGCCATGTTCTTTGGCTATATTTCTTAATTGCACTAGTTCCTTATTTGAGTTTGCCTTCCATGTCTTTATAGTGGACTCCCCACCGTTTTGTCCTTGCTTATATTCTACGGGAAAAGCATTAATTTTCTGTGCCAGCTCCCAATCACCAGACTTAGTTGCCTCTATCTTAATAAGGGCCCATGGATCAGTATACATCGTATCAGTCACTGCAAGTGCACTGGTCCTCTGAGGAGGACTGAGGGGGGGTGCGATCTGCGTCCTATGCTTTTTTCGGCGTTTAGAAGCGGCGTTTTTCAAAGGTTTTGTTAGCTGTGGGGGGGCACATGGCATAACCTGGCCAGGGGGAGGCGCCACTGGAGCTGGGATGGCAGCACAGCACGCACAGGACCGGGTGAGGGGGGTAGCACCGTGGGGGGTCTCTGGGATCCGTTCGGGTGGCATTGAGTGTGGGTGGGGGGTTGGTGGGACGGGTGGTGGGGGCAGGGGGGCTGGGCGGGCTGGGGGTGTGGGCATGGGAGGAGTACGGGTGGGGAGGCAGTGGGACCGGTCTGGGGTGCCGCGGTTACGGGGTGGTGTGCTGGCATTGCGCATGTGTGAGGTTCCCCTGCTGTAGCAGGCACGGTGCGGGGGGGAAGAGGGGATACCGGCGGTCACGGCAGAGGCGGTAGCGGGGGTCGGGAAGCCGTCGGGACGGGCCTGACCGCTCAGAGCAGGGGTGGTGGGAGCGGGGGCGGAGGGAGGGGGAGCAGAGGGAGGGGGGGCGGGGGGCATTGCGACCGGGGGAGTCAGTCACCGCGGGGCTGGGGGGGGCGGGGGGGGGTGGGAGGGGCCGCGGCGGAGGGGGACAGAGCCGACGCAGGGGTGGAGGTGGCGGGAGGAGGGGCGGGATGGTCCGCTGCGGGGGGGAGGGCCGGCGCGGGGGAGGGGGCGGCAGAGGCCGGAAGAGGGACCCCCAGGACCGGAGGCGAGGAGGAAACCAAGCCGGAGGGAGGGGGGAAGTGTGCAGTTATAGATAAGTCCAGAAGCGGGGAGTTAGGCAGCGCAGATCCCGCAGGGGGGGGGGAGGTGGGGGGGGGGGGGGGCTGTGGTGAGCAGCGTAGCCTCTGCCGTGGGGGGGGCAGAGGTGGGGAGAGCTTTAGGACCCAGGAGCTGATGTGAGGCATGCAAGCGACATTCCTTAGAGTCTTTATCAGTATCATTAGCATTTGAAGAGGAAGTGTCTGTTGCTAGCCTTAAGATTTTTTCTCTGTTACATTTTTCAATTGTTTTAGTTATTATATGAAATAGAGGCAAATAGTTGCAGAAAAATCCTGTTTTGTTTGTGAGATATATATGGTGTTGCCAATCTTATCCCAAAACGAATTTTCAGTGACAGCTTCCTTATTAGTTTCAGGGTATTGCGAAATAATCCATGTTACAAATTTTTTAAGGTTAGTTTTTGAGAGCTTGCCGGCGGAAAAGGAAAAGTTGTTAGATTTCTAAGATGGTTAAGTATATCTCTCTCTCGATTTTAGTTAGTTTTAAGGTACTAAGAGTTGTACCCATGTTAATTTTAGCCCTTCCAGCAGAAAAAAACGAGAAAAAAAAAAGAAAAAAAAAAGAAAAAAAAAATGTTTAGAGCCCAGAACTTATGCGCGCAATGTTAGCTAACTTATACTTACAGTTCTTGGGGTCCAGAATCTGTGGAAGGGGTCTGCTGACGTCAGTTCTCCTCTGAACTTTTTTTTCGTTCAGATGTAAATTTGAGGGTTGAACTGACCCTCCCGGGAAGAGTTTCTTCTAAAACAAAAAAGTCTCTTCACAGGAGTAGTGGCGTCTGGTGAGGCAGTACAGAATACCCCGGGGGGCTTCACTGCTCATCGATGAATATCGCCTCTGAGGGGGTTCATCATCATTGGGCGCCACTATAATAAACCCTCTGATTTGGCCTTATCATAAATCAGTGCAAGATAGCCCAGGAGCTCAGTCCCCAGGGGGACAGGGTGCCCAAAGCTAAGCTAGCTCAGTCCGATCGATCGCCGTGGGCCAACCCCCATAGCAAGCTTGGTGATTATCAGATCTTATAGTGATCACAAGCTCTTAGGATTTCAGCTCTTGCTTGCTAGGTAGGGGTGCCCTGGGCTGAGGTTGCAGCAGACGGCGGAGAGAGAAGGAGAGGCGCTGGCTGGTTCCACAGAGATGGCTTTATTGGGGAAGTCTGTGAAGGGTCCCAGCGACAGCTCTTCTTCTCCCAAATGGGCTACAGTATGCCCTTTTTATAGGGTTGGAGAGAATCCAAACTTAACCAATGGTAAGGGTTTAGGGGAATCCAGATTTGACCAATAGTAAGGGTTAAAGTAACAGCCTTATAGGGTTAGAGAGATAGGCTATGGGGCGGGGGTCAGGGAGACAGGAATTTCTTTTGCTTTCTCAGCATTCCTATTGTTCAGATTCTCCATGGGGCCTTAGCCAGGTCCATGGGATTTACTACAATCTCCTACACACAAGCTTTAAGATCTTAGGTTCTGAATCAGCTTGATCAGGAAACTTCAATTTACACTCGGGGCATATGCCCTGATGCCTATTAGAAAAGCAATACAAGCGTCTCTCACAAACTCCGCACTGCAATAGTACCCCACCAAGGGTGCCAGCCTCTCAATGCCCCAAAGGCTCTCAGGAATTGCCCACAGAGGCAGGCTATTCCATTTATCACAGGGAACTCTAAATCCTCTACGGCAGGTTGTTCCCAGTCCAGACTTTCTATAGTACCAGCTGAAGTCTGATAAAGCCCCTCTAAATGAACTCATTTGTCTCTTCTATCTATCCAATAATTCACAGGATTCACAAACTCCTAGGGGTCGAGTCCAAACCACTGGGGCAGAGGAACCCCTTGAGTTCATCTAGCCACGGTAAGAGTGTGCACAATCTACACAAATCACCACCTTTACACAATAAATGTCCTTACCCACACTTCTCCACTACCTGCTCCACTTCTCTGCCAGGCGCTCCCCACCCCCACAGCCTGCTTTATTCGGTGCTCCAGGCCTCACTCAGCCCCTTCAATCGCAGGTAGAAACCCCCCCGCAGTGTAGGTATACTCACTCGCTTGCTCTCTTTTGTACACCACTCACTTGCACAATTACAAACACATTAACATTAACCACACAATGCATTAACTATACAATGATACACTGTCCAGACACCACACACACACACACACGGGTTCACTCGACTCTCCCCCAGAATTGCTAGCGGTAGCTCTGTCGGACAGTGAACTCCTGTCTCTAGTCCAGTCGCTCTATCAACCAGTCTGCCTGCAGGCACAGGAATGAGGCTGAGCACTCAGACATCTCTGAGTGACTTATTCAGCCGTCCTATCTCTCTTTTCCCCCAGGGGTCACTCAATACATACCGTATCCTCCGCACACCAGCAGGTCCTTGTCTGTCTCCGCAAGAGGCAAGCCGAGACGAGCGGAGCTCCTCTGGGAAAATCCTGGGGCATGCCTCAGGAGGTCCATCTATGACTCTGCCCCTGTGAGGACAGAGAAGGTCTCTCCTGGCTGGCTCGCCAAAATGTGTTGTGGGAACAAACAAAAATTCCACAACTTTGTGAAAGTTGTAAAGCTGGTATGTTTATTACAGTGCTGGATGCATGTGGAGATTACTCTCTTTAAAAGACATGCGCACCTCTGGGAACTCCAGATCTTTTTTTATCCCCCTCTCAAATATATATGCATGCAATTTCACAATAGGTTCATACATATTCATTTTTACAAATTTCGCGTTACATTTGCTGCTAGTTCTTCTTTATCAGAAAGAATTCCTAGGTCAGGTTGACCTGCTCTCACAGCAGTCTCTGTCTCTCTGTCTCTCCCCCCCCCCCACGCCCTTATCTCTGTCCTTCACTGAAGCAGTTTCTCTGAGCCTAGGCTTTTTACGAGAACAGGCAGTCAGACTAAACAGCTATGTTCTCAAACTACAGAATAAACTCAAATATGTACATTTCACCTAAATCAAAATGGATTTCTACTTTGGAAAATTTCCACTCAGTCTCAAATGTTTGATCTTTGTGTACTTTTGTCTTTGTTTAAGACAATTATACAGGGTGGAGACTCTAAAATTACTTATCTCCCTTATTAGTTTTAACAAGTCCCCTTTCACCAAAAAGGAGAGATGAATGTGAGAAAAGATATGTGAAAAAACAACAGTTTATTAAAAAGGAAAACAGCAACAACCAAGATAACAGCAATAATCACTAGATACAAAGGTGCTGTGGTCTCCCTGGGAACAAAGAAAACAAGATGGTGGATAAGTCCCTCCTCCCAAGATGGTGGCCACCACAGCAGCCAGCGTGGATCAGAGGACAAAGACAAGATGATGGAGAAGCCTCCAGTTCCACCTTCCCCCGGAACAAAAAAAAAAAAAAAAATCGGGAAGGCAGGGTATTATGAAGCAATTCTGGTGGCAGATGGGGGGGTGCTGGTGTTGCGTGGGGCAGCTCCGGACTTGCGGTGTCAGTTTTCCTCCTCCTTCTCTGCAACAGCACTGGTGTGTGTGTGAGGTCAGTGCTGCCACTTTGCTGCCTCTTCCTGCTACCTTCTGGACTCGGTGTCGGCACCACTGTCTCAGGTCACTGCCCCATTGTGGGGCAGAAGGGGGGGTAAATGGCCTATCTCATTGGGCACTGAAGAAAAACAGCCCCAACCCTACCGGTCCTGGCTGCAGTTACAGAGTTGTCATTTCAATGCCACACCTTGTCCTGCAGAAGCATCCTAGAAGACTCAAATGGGACTTGCAGGTCATACAGTGCCATTATCTGCTGATCCCTTCACTCAAGCAAGCCAGAAAAAATGGACCCCCTTCCAGTTGTGGTCACAATTTTTTCCCTGCTGAAACCATGCCCATAGCTGTGGCGCTAAGAGTATTTGAATAGACGGTGCTGAAAACTCTACATCCTTGTCTTTGTACCCAAGACAACTTTCAAGCCTAATCAACCAGAAGGGAGATTTAATCCATTAAACAGAGATCAGCAAACAAGCTGTAAGTGATGTCCAGGTGTTAGGAAAAAAAAATCACTTGGTAGAATTTCCTTGTTAAGGTTTAGGGCTAGACATGCTTCAGTGAACTCAGACCTCAGGGGAGGTTAACAAAGCTTTGACTGTATAGAAGTGGTACCTCTAGAAGAACACTCAGGGGACTCCCACCACCGAGAAGTCCAGAAGAAGGGCCGGCAGGACACCACAGAAACCCATGTGGTGGTGACTATCTTTCTACTTAATCTGCCTCTCTCTCCTTGTCTTGCTCTCTCTCTCTCCCTCTCTCCCCCACTTTGTCTCTCTGCTTCACATTTACTGTTGAATAAAATACATACTATTGACTTTTGCATATGATCTCATTTGCATCTTAATTTGGGCAGAGGCATCTTTTAATAATCAGAGCCTATCATTATTCCAGTGGATCTTAACATTAAATTGGTGTCAGAAGTGGGATTACCAAAAGAAAAGAAAGACTGAGCAAGCAGAGTAATTAACATGAGAAGTTAGAGAACCATTAACCAGTAGAAGATAGGATACTAATTATAAAGAGAACTATGTAACTTGTAGCCAATGAACACTAATCCCTTCGTTTGCTAAAATGTATAAATAGAAAAAAGTCTTGATAGTTGGGGTTCTTGATTTGCAGAATATCATGGAGCACCCAGGCTTGTGCAACTCTGAAATAAATAATCAGTGTAATTATTGGCTTGTTGCACACCAGGTAATGAATCCAATTTTAATGGACAACACTACTGGAAGCAAGTTGTTTGTTTCACCTAGTTCATACAACTGCTTTTATTGCTGCTAAACCACAAAAATTGAATCACCCATAAATCATGAGTAATTGTGTCTAACCAAAACCATTCATAAAGGATCAGCTATGAATTGCTGAGATTTGGAAATAACAGTTGAGACCTGGTCTAAGAATTCTTATACCTCTCAGCATGCCTTAAGAGCTAATTTCTCTACTTCTGTTCACTTCTATAAACACTTCCTGCCTTATCAGTTCTTTGTAGACCCTAGTGACCTTGAATCCCAAATGCTGCTAAACCCAAAAATTAATACTTAAATGTGTGGCAGAGATGTCATAGTTATGTTTACATTTGTTTTCTGAAAGAATCAAAAGTATCCCAGCAACACACAGTAAATCTACCTGTTAACATGGCAACTTTTTTTGTCGGGATACCAGTTGTCGATTTCTCTGGGTCTGGATTGAAGGCACTTGAAACGGTAGTTCGTGTTCAGACTCAAGTGTTTATTATTTTTTGTCAGTAAAACAGTTTCACTACTGTGAGTTCGGCAGCTTTTCATTAGAAGGCACAAAATGGCTAACAATCTCTTGTTACAAGGTCTTTTAAGACTAAATTATCCAATTAAGAACTGACACCTAGATTATTTTCCCTTTTAACCCAATAACTGATCCCAAAGAGCCCACAATGCAGACTTTTCTGCTCAATTACAAAATGCCACCCAAACCCATGAAGAAGAAGGAAGAAGAAGCATGAAGAAGAAACTCAGGACAACACTCTGTGTCCTCCATCTTGCTTCCATCCACAACATACTAAAAATCCCAAAACCTAAATTTCTCACCAAGTGATACACCTACACTACTCTCTATAATCTATTTCCCACTTTTGTGGATTCTAATCTATCCTGAAGTCTAGGAAACTTTCTCCGTGAATGAGGGTCAAAGTCAGTGCTCCCCTGGGGGTCAGGACACCCCAGAGCAGACAGAGAAATATTCCCAGTGCTCTGGATTTCCACATCTCCCCCTTCTCTTTGAACCAAAAACACTCCTTTGACAGACTCATCCATCATCTGTCAGATATACCAAAGTAGACGTGGCACAAATATTAAAAGGACTGCGACACCAATCAGGACAGGCACACCTATCTTCAAAAATTCTCTCCATGCTGGTGCAAGATTAAACCAACTGAACACACCATCCAGCCATGACCCATTGTTTTCCCCAAGTTTGGCCACTCCATCTTCCAACTGTTGTATGCTTTCGTGAATAGATTTTGAATGATCAGACAAATTCATGCAACACATTCCTTCAAATTCCTCACATCCATGTCCATGCACTAACAAAAATAATCAATTGCCGCTTGTCTCGGTCCCTCTGTGAGCCTCTCAGGAACCCTCGGCCAGTCCCAAGTCGGCAGACACCGGAGGGGCAGCTCCGACACAGCCAACAGTGGGGAGACACTCTCCCGTGCCCCGAGGGTACTGAGGGCACCTGGGCTGGTTGCCTTTGCAGCAGAAGAGACACCAGAGACATTGGTAGAAGAGACACGAGAGACGTCGGTAGAAGAGAAAGGGCCGACTCTTAGCAGGGGTTAATCCAAGGTTTTATTCTAGGATCCCAAAGGAGCTCCTGCACCTCAGGGGGCCTCCTGCCAAGAGCCCCGGGAGATGTGCCAAGGTTACATTTAAGGGGAGGTGGAAACCAAAAGTAGATAACATTTTACCAACCAATAAGTGACCCTAAGCGATGGATGCTGGGGGATAGACATCTAGGACAGCGTATGGTGCAAGGCTTGGGGGGCTGACTCCTAGCCTCTGGCTAATCACTCGACGACCTGGACCGAAACTTCTGGATGGAGGGGATGGGATGCTGAGTGATTGACAGAGAGCCAGGGTGGGGGTTTGGGGATGATCTCATCCCGGGAGAGGGATAACACAGGTAAAGGGAGGGGGGTACAGTTTGGGATAAACCATTTGGGAAAAATATGAGGATACAAAACAAAACTATTTCAAAGTACTACGAAGTATAAAAACGCACTACAACAGCCGCTCTGTTTTGCAGAGTCGCCTGTCTCACACCTTGATCATCAGCTAATAAATTGCTCAGTGCGAGAGAGGTAGCACAAAAGTGCTTACTCAACCAACACTCCATTTGATCCAATTGCTTCAAGGCTGTTCCTGCAGCTGCCTGAGGCAGAAGCAGAGCTGTTATAAATTTCTGGCCCTTTTTCCATGTATTAACATTGTCATCACAATTGGAGTCATATCAACTGACAGATCTTTTCCCTCTATGTCTTTGTTCTCTTATCATTGTCATGTTGGGTGTCAGTAAAGAAAGTCTCCCAATGCTGCATGGACCACCTTTGACATTGTGCAGCAGTGCGACTCAATTGTCAGTGTCCGGCTAGCTACCAGCACTGCCAGCAGCACGAGGGGGCACTTCTCCCGATAGCTGGCTTCGGGATAGCGCCTAAGGCAGGGCCCAGCTTGCGGCTGTAGGCACACCTTGTGCAGGACCGGAGTCTAGTAAAGGCTGCAACCAGCAGAAAGAAGACGGCAGACTCCAACTGTGGCTTAATCCAGGCTTTAATGAATCCCGGAGGGACCGACAGGAGAAGATGGGGGGGGGGGGGGGGGGGGGGGCTGACAACAAGTTTTAAGGGGTAGGGAGAACAAGGGAGGTGCCAGGCATTGGGCCAATGGGGGTACAGTGGGGAGTGGGGTCCAAGGGATTGACACGTGGGCAACACCAACAGGAAACATTCTGGGGAGGGGCCCCGGTTCCTCAGCCAACCATCGAACTCCCCTGCTGGAACATTCTAGCAGTAAGGGTGGGGAGTGAGAGTGATTGGCGGGGCACCGGGGAGGGATCAGAAGAAAAAATACAAGGGTTTCCAGGGAAACCAGGGCAGAGTTTAGGGGATACATTGTTGGCTGAGGTGGAGCCAGGAAGACAGACAGCTCCAAAGGCGGGAAGGGAGAACTGGGGCAGAACCATTTTCAGACAGAAGGGGATTGGAACAAACCAACCTAATAACTTAACAAAACACACTGCAACAACATTGGACAGGATGGTGGGCCAAATTCTGTCCCCACAAATGAAAAAGATTCCTTGTGGTAATTGCAATGGAACTTTGTTGGACGGTGTGATCATCCTTGCTGTGAAATTGCACCAAGATGTCGCATTTCTATGTATAATGTGATTTGGGGTTACATCTGGTATTTTGTCCCTATTTTATTTTGACCCAAGAAGACTAAATACTATACAGAAATCCATCTTCACTGAGCCAAGAATTTCCAATTCTTGAGGTTCATAAGGAGCCTCAGGGAGAAATTTGGTCCAAACTCCCCTTCTTGTTTGAACCATGAACACTGCATTGACAATTTTGTCAACCATCTGTCAGAAACAATGTGTGTCATTCGACCACACCCCATATTTCACTTAAGTTATCACCTAACAAAAATTTTACTACATCACTGATTCCTACACCCATGAAGAAACCCAAAGTCCACGATCTTCTGTGGGTGAAGCACAAGGGTTGGAATCTCTGCAGTCCACATCTGTGTGTCTTCTTCTCTGCTTGTGGAGTGGTCAGCATTTTCTTGCACTTGATAGAGTTTCACATTCTTCACTGAAATCCACCTGGACTTTGTACCTGTTAAAACACAAACAAATCCATGTCCCCACAGGAACTGGAGGATTTTCTCAAAATCCTGGAGGTGAAGAATGGGTCCTGATGTGAAAATAAAACATTGATCAGTTCTGTTTTGCAAAATTGCATAGAGAAATATAAGATATCAACATAAGTTGCTATTGCTAACATTCTTTGGTTATGAACAGGAGAAAACATCAAGAGCAAAACAATGCATGTAGTAAAGAAGAAACTAACAGCAATTAGGAATCAATCAGATAATACACATAATCAATAACACATGCAAAATCATACAATTACCAAGCACTACAACTCTGAACTGTCATCCCAGAGTCTGTAACAGCTGATAAACCTTAAAACAACAGAAAATTGGAAAAATCATGTCCAGATTCATGTTTCTCCAAACTCCCTTTGAAAATAGGCTCAGCTGTCATATATGGTCGAATTGCCAAGTCAAAAGGACTTGAATACTTTTTGATGCAGAAAACATCTGGGTCGACTATCAATCACTCCATCCAAGTAGAGCTAGAGCTTGGCCAGAGCCCAAACTCTAATTGGTGGGTATCACTTAACACATTTTAAAACAAGACTCTTAAAAATAACAGCTATAAATAAGAAAACTTTGGGTTAAAAACCAATCAAACCATCAAGTAATTGAATGCCTCTGAAGTTTCTTTCCGGATAAAGATTCTTCAAACACAGCACCCTCTTCTTCAGAGATCTGAATTTGGTCACAGTCAGGATTGTGAGCCTGGATCTGGACACTGAGAATTTGAAGGAGGAGGAAGTGCAGATGAATGAAAGATTGATTACCTAGTACAAAATTGAAACCCCAAAATAAATAAGTTAATGTTACAACTGAACTCTCTGCTGGAGTACTGCTGTAACAATAACTGAAGAAAACCAAGAGACTAGCAGTCTGGATTTAAAAGAAATCAAAAAATATATG